TTAGCTGCAACTGTGAAACTCCGAAAGCTTTGTAAAACTGGAAGGTATGGGGTCCAGCGCTGTGGCATAGCAGGTTAAGACTTTGCCTGAGGCACCAGCATCCCAGTGAGCAACATTTTGAGTCCAAGCTGCTCCACTTCCAATCCAACTCCTTGCTAATGGCCTGAGAAAGCACTGGAAGATGGCCCAAATGTTTGGGCTCCTGTACCCACGTGGAAAACCTAGATATAGCTCCTGGCTCCTGGCTTGAGATCTGCCAACTCCAGCTACTGAGGCCATCTGGGGAGTAAACCAATGGATGGAACACCTGTCTCTCTGTTTCTCACTCTCTCTCTCCCTGTAACTCTGCTTCTCAAATAAATAAATATATCTTTTTTAAAAAAACTGAAAGATTTGTTTTTAAATTTAAATTTACTTATTCATTTTATGTGATAGGCAGAGAAGGAGAGAGAAACAAGGTCTGGCATTGTGGGTTAAGCCTCCACTTGCAACATGTATGTGCCAAGTTAGGAATGCTGGTCTAGCCACAGCTACTCTGTTTCCAAGCCAACTCTCTGCCAATGCATCTAGGAAAGCAGACCCAAGTGCCTGCATTCCTGTCACTCGTGTGGAAGATGCAGATGGAGTTCCAGGGTCTTGGTTTTAGTTAGGAGCCGCCCCAGCCACTGTAGCTATTTAAGGAGTGAATTCATCCCCTCCCTGGTTCTCACCCCCTCCCATCACTCAGCCTTTCCAATTGATAAATAAATAAATAAAAATATTTTTAAAACAAGAAAAGCAAACAGAAACAGAGACAGATCTTCCATCCACTAATCCATACCCCAAATACCTGCAACAGCTGGGATGGGACCACGCTGAAGCTGGGATCCTGGAACGTTGTCCAGGTCTTGATGTAAGTGGCAGGAACCTAAATAATCAAGTACTCAGGATGTACATTAGCAGGGAGCTGGGATCAGAAGCAAAGATGGGACTCAAACCAGGATTCCTAATCGGGGATACTAGAGTCCCAACTGACACCTTTACTACAGAGCCAAACATGCATCCTATTTTGCTGTTTTGCTTACAAGTCTGTGATGAGCTAATTTGGCAGCCAAAACCATCCTGAATTTGCATGAGGCTATATGTTGTCTTTATAGATCCCACACGTAGATGACAATTCAAACATTTAGCTTCAGAAAAGAAAAAAAAACACCACCATATTTCTGTTTAGGGTATTCTCCAGACCTTGTCAAGTGTCTTTTACAAATTCTCCAAATATTTTGAATTCTAAAACACACTTGGCCCTAACAGTTCCAGGTAACAGATTATAGATAAATGTTACAATGGTTGGTTTTACACTGTTGTGAGGTTGTTGGGTCCAGACTCTTGTCTCTGATGTAGCAAAGAATTTGAGGATGAGGTCTAAGTAAGGATCAGCAAAGAAACACGATTTATTTGCACACAAAGCAAAAGCAAACATTAAGGGGGAGTGCAGGCATGTTTGAAAGTGCACTGGACTCGGGAGGTTCAGCACCATCCCTTTATATGATCCAGAGGCATAGAAGGTGGCGTCTGGGTTGGGATTGGCATGCATATCCTTAGGAGGCAAAGTTTAGGGCAGGGTTTGAATATCTCTTATTTTCTGTTGATGACACTTAAAAAATTGAATCTCTACACCAGGGACAGGTGTTTGGCACAGCTGTTAAGATGTTACTTAGGACAGCTGCATCACATCCTATCAGAGTGTCTGCCTTTGAGTCCTGGCGATACCTCTAACTCCAGGTGCCTGCTAATTCATACCCTGGAAGGAAGCAGTGATGGCTCAAGGACTTGAGTCCTTGCCATCCACGTGAGAGACCCAGATGGAGTTCCCTATCTTCAGTTTGGCCTAAGCCTAGATTTTACAGAGCGTGTTATTGGATAGATCATCTCTTTTAATCTGTCTCTGTCTTTCTCTCTCTCCCCTGCTCTGCCTTTCAAATAAATAATTTACTTTAAAAACTCCACAACACAATATGGGTTTAATAAGGCTAGAAAAAAAAATAGGGTTCTAAAGAAATATGCCGAAATGTATACTTTGTCTCTGGATGGATGAATTTCACATAATTAAAATTTTAAATTCTCTACAATAATCCTATAATAGCATTATAATCAGAAGATGTAGTATAATATTGTTAAAGTCTGCATATTATATTTTACATATAATATCTGATCACAATTATGGAAAAATAAATGCAGCAGAAACACACCAGAAGGAGATATAAAAGAAGCTTATCTAAGGTTATGCCTGGGCACTAAAACTTTGTGAATTTTCTCAATTTTTAAAGATTCATTCTCTTTTAAAATTGAAAACAGTATTTTAAATGGAACTAACTGTATACAATCTATGTCTTTGTCCAGGAAACTTTGCAAGGGTTCTTACCAAACAGTTGATGGTTTAAAAGACATGATCGGTGACAACTCACTGAGCACCAAAAAGGAAACATGTTAAAGTGAAATGGACACTGTGAGAAACAGTGACTTGATCAGCCCTTGCCCTGACTGTTGATGAACAACTTAATACGTTATCCCTCTTAGTATTTTTGTTTGTTTGTTTTACTTAATACTATTGGTTGAATTCTGTAATTGATACACAGTTATTCTTAAGTGTTGAAACTTAACTGAAAAGTGATTCCTGTTAAATATGAGTGGGAATAAGAGAGGGAAGAGATGTACAATTTGGGACATGCTCAAGCTGACTTGCCCCAAATGGTACAGTTAGAAACGTGCCAGGGGATTCCAATTCAATCCCATGAAGGTGGCATGTACCAATGCCATCTCACTAGTCCAAGTGATCAATTTCTGTTCACAATTGATCTTCATGATAGGACTAAGAGTCAAAGGGATCACATAAACAAGACTAGTGTCTGCAAATACTAACTGATAGAATAAAAAAAGGAGAGAATGATCCAACCTGGGAAGCGAGATACCCAGCAGACCCATAGAATGGGAGATGTCCTAAACAGCACTCTGGCCTCAGAATCAGCCCTTAAGGCATGTGGATCCGGCTGAAAAGCCCATGAGAGTATTTCAGGCATGGAAAGCCAAGACACTCTGGCCAAAAAAAAAAAAAGCCTAAATGAAAGATCTCCACGAGTGAGATCCCAGTGGAAAGAACAGGTCATCAAAGAAAGAGGTACCTTTCTTTGAAGGGAGGAAAGAACTTCCACTTTGACTATGACCTTGTCTAAATATCATCAGAGTCGGTGAACTCAAAAGGCTTCCATAGCCTTGGCAACTCATGACAAGAGCCTAGGGTGATTACTGATGCCATAAACAAGAGTGTCAATTTGTTAAGTCAACAACAGGAGTCACTGTGCACTTACTCCTCATGGAGGATCTCTGTCCTTAGTGTGCTGTACATTGAGATTTAATGCTATAAATAGTACTCAAACAGTATTTTTCACTTTGTGTTTCTATGTAGGTGCAAACGGTTGAAATCTTTACTTAATGTATGCTAAACTGATCTTCTATATATAAGGAGAATTGAAAATGAATCTTGATGTGAATGGAAGGGGAGAGGGAACGGGAAAGGGGAGGGTTGTGGGTGGGAGGGAAGATATGGGGGGGAAGCCATTGTAATCCATAAGCTGTACTTTGGAAATTTATATTCATGAAATAAAAGTTAATAAAAAACTCAATTTGCAACTCAAGTCAACATTCCTTTACTCCATTAAAAAAAAAAAAAGAAGAAGAAGAAGAACATTGGGAGTGATAGAAGTCCAGACTGCAAAATATTTCAGTAGAAGGCAAAATGGTTTGGAAAAATCAAGTTCACACTTGAAAAAAATTATAGTGAGATAAATTGTCCCTCGTCTTGCACACAGAATTTTTGAGTGGAAAAGAGTTCTGAAGCCAAGAAGTTGTGCGCTGGGCCATACCAAGTGTCTGATTTCTTTCCCACTCCACAGTCTCCTTAATGCATTCATGTATAAAACTTAAGGGCTTAAACAATAAAACAATTAGTGGGCTGAAGTCAGTTTGATTAGAAAAGTAAAAATAAAATACAGAAGCACCAATTGCATTTCTATGAAGAGAATGAAATGCAGAAATTATCCACAAGGAGACACATGTGCCAGAAGACAGATAAGGCCAACATCTTGACAGTTATGTAACTATTTTTCCTCTTTTCCCCAGCCACATGAATCCTCTCTGACTTCCAGAGTTGACGACTCATAACTCACCTCCTCAATGGAGACTCCATGATCGCTCCCCACCACTACCTTTATTCCCTCTTGTGATGTCTGTCAGCATTGACTTTTCAATTGAAAACTCATTATCTCTTTGATTAACCCATATATTTTGTAAGCAGTTCTTTAAAAGTGCCACACCAGGTGTGGTACAAGATCCTAATCCCGTTGAAAGGTGGCATTAGTCTTGGATTGCTATTCCTCTCACTCTTGGGCTTCTTGAGTCTACCTTACTCCTGACTGCTTGAAGGATTTGTATTGTGCTGTTTCCTGTTTCAGTTTCTCAATTCCGATGTTTGTCGCTCAGCACCACGTTCCTGGACACTACCTTGGTCATTTTCCAAGATAATACTGGATGCCTCCTCTGGCCTTTACCCTGAGAATTCTTGGACTCTTTGCCCTGTTCAGCTCCATTCCCTCTGAGTCCATTTGCTGCTCTAGTGGGACTGAAGCAATACATCTTGGCTCAGCAATGACACCACAAGCCCCTGGAACATGAGACAATGTTTTGTAGGTTGCAAAGAAAATACTTCTTATGCTCTAGCTCTCTCATCTCTGTGTAAAAGTAAAATCTTCCACATTTAATTGCTATTAAGGATGAAATAAAATAATGCATATAAAGCATCCAAAAACAGTATCTATAATATAGTAGGTGCCTGATGGATGCTTTTACAGATTTATTTTTCTTTCATTTGGATTATCTTGTTTCTCAAAAATTTTGAACACTGTATGAATTATTTTATGAGTGTTTTTTGGAATAAGAATTATGTGCTAAATAATGTTGAGAAACATTTGGGTTAAATTACACTTAAAACACTTCTCCTCAGAATCTCAGATATTTATGATTTTCTGGTGGAATACACCAGGCAGTTCTCCCCAGTACATCTGACAACAGATGTCTGCTTTTCATGGAATGTTTATAGAAACTTGGATACGAGGATCATGTTGCCAATTTGACTCTTCTTTATACGAACCTCTTTCTGTTTTATTGACAGTTCTCCTAAGATAAATTGTTTTTAAAAAGTTCTCTTTTGCAACTATATGCTCATATAAATCAAAATTTCTCAATATTGTGCAAGGGAGATTAAATTAGATGTTGACAATGAAATAAGATGGCAACTTGGGAATCATAAACTTTAATTTCAGATTTCATGTAGTTAGTGGAACATCTTTATTTGTCTCAGTTAATAACTTTATATAATCCAAGTTTTAAACTTGAAAACAAAATACTTAAACATTCTTAAATTTAAAAAATAGAATTAAAAATTTACCTCTAGTATGGAGTAGTGAGCTACTCCTGAGAATAAAAAAAATATGAAACTAGTACACAACTATTTTTATTTTATCTAGAGACTGAGCTAAGACAGTGCATTTGGGAGGAGCTCTGAAACTTGAAGGAACCAAATAGAGTGAGTTCTCTGGATTTTGTGGCTTTACTTTGAAGGTAGCACAGTCGTGTTGTAGGTGGCATGGGGATGACGAAAATTGTGATAGAAAGCCCTGTCATTTGAACCAGGTAAAGGAGTCCCAGGGCAATCAGAGCCAGGAGAGGGTTAGAAAGTCAAAGAGTAGGAAACCCTTAATTCAACAGTTAAGCCCAGCTCAAGTTTCTGGATGACCCCTGAACCATGCATTGGTGGGGCAATTGAAAGCAGCTTGCAACAAAGGCTTGAATACCTGACCTGAGATATGAGACTCCATCCATCACAGGTACGACAGTCCGTCATTTCTGTTTAGCCTCATTAAAATTCCTGCTTAAAAAAACAAAACAAAAATAAACAAGCAATTAAACAAAACCCCTCAAATATTCTTTGGAGCAATATAACAAAATTCGAAATCTCTAAAAGGGAACATTTGTGATATCCAAAGTACAATCCAAAATTACTTAATGTATTAAGAGCCAGAGAAATGTGGACCTGTCTCCAGGGAAAAAAGATTATCAACAGATGCCAAATGGTGAGTTAACCCAGATGCTGAAGTTAAGAGATAAGAACCTTAAGGAAGATACAATAGCTGAGTGAGATAAAGTTAAAAATTCTTATAATGAGTATACAGATAGGAATTCTTGACAAAAAAAAACAGGAAATATAAAATATAGTTAAATGGAAATTTTAGAAATGAAAAAGCACAATCTTTGGCCTACCTGCGGATTGGAGCTGATGGAAGAAATAGCAACTTTGAGGATAGATCATTAGATATCACGAAACCTGAAGAAGAGAGAAAACAACTAATAGAGCATCCAGGATCTCTATAAAATTGCAAAGGATCTAACATATGCATGATTGGAGTCCCAAAAGTAAAGAAAAGAGAGAATGAGAAAAACTTACTTAAGAAAACATGTTGGAGTACTTTTCATAGTGTCTAAAGAAAATAAACAGATTCAAGAAGCTCAGTGAATTCCAAATAGTACAAATTTGATGATAACCATACTCAGACACACTATAGTCAAACTGTTGACAACTAAAGATAAAGAGAACATCTTGAAAACACCCAGAGGAAAAAGGAACACACAACCTAAAGGGGAATAAAGGTTTGCATAACCATGGACTTCCCTTTATAATCAAGAGGCCAAAAGGTAATGGAAAAATATCTTTCATGTGGTGAAAGAAAACAATAAAATATCAAATCAAATTGCTCTTGTCAATGAAAGTATTTTTCACAGCTGAATGTGAAATAGACATTTTTCAGATTAAGCAAAGCTAGGAGAAAATGTGCTGCCACCCAGAACTGCACTACCAGAAATGACAGTGGAAATTCTTCAGAATGAATGAAAACGGAGCTGATGGGAATTCAGATTCTTAAGAAGGAAGAAAGAGCATGGTGAATACATAGGTCAAGATACAACTCAATTTTCTCTTAAAATAAAATCCAAGTGACTGTATCAAGCAAATTTACAGCATTCCTTGAGTGTTTTATAATGTTTATAAATGCATTATATATGACAGCTGAAATATGATGGATGGTGAGGAGTTATTGGGCTTAGATGTTTGCAAGTTTTCCATAGTCAGGAGGCATTGCTGTGGTACTAACTCCAGCTCGAGTGAAAGTTATTTATCAATATTTTAATCCCCAAAAGACACTTGAAAAATAAAGCAAAGAATCTTAGTTATTTAGACAAAAATTGAATTGAAATGGACATTAAAAAATTTGTAAATAATTTAAAAGAAGGCGGCCAGCACCACGGCTCAATAGGCTAATCCTCCACCTGTGGCACCAGCACACCAGGTTCTAGTCCTGGTCGGGACGCCGGATTTTGTCTTGGTTGCTCCTCTTCCAGTCCAGCTCTCTGCTGTGGCCCAGGAGTGCAGTGGAGGAAGGCCCATGTCCTCGGGCCCTGCACCTGCATGGGAGACCAGGAGAAAGCACTTGGCTCCTGGCTTCGGATCAGTGCAGTACCCCAATCACAGCGCGCTGGCCGCAGTGGCCACTGGGGGGGGTGAACCAACGGAAAAAGGAAGATCTTTCTCTCTTTTTCTCTCTCTCACTGTCCACTCTGCCAGTTTAAAAAAGAAAGCAAGAAAAAGAAAAAAGAAGGCAAGAAAGGAAAGCCAGGATCCAGGAGCTTCCTCCAGGTCTCCCACGTGGGTGCAGGGCCCAAGGACTTGGGCCATCTTCTACTGCTTTCACAGGCCATAGCAGAGAGCTGGATCGGAAGTGGAACAGCCAGGACTGAAACAGGCACCCATATGGGATGCTGGCACTGCAGGCGGCAGCTTTACCTGCTACACAACTGCCCCAGCCCACAATTATAATGTTCTAATGGTTGTGGTGACAGTTGTAAATGATCGTCTCTAGTGTTCATATTAATTTTAAATTTTCTTGTGATTTGAATATGAGTTTTCTTCTCTGAAAATCGTGTTGGAAGTTTATTGCCATCTGTTAAATCACGAAGAGGGATTATTGATTTCTTGTTGGCAGTGGGTTCATTATCATGACAGTGGATTGTCATAAAGTGAGTTCATCCCTTATGCTTTGTCTCTGTCATATGTATCCAAGGGCTCTCCATTTGTCCATGCTGCTATGATGCAGCACAAGGCCCTCCCCAGGTGCTGCTGCCAGACCTTGGCAGAAGCAAGAGCTAATGAAAGTGCTTTCCTTTATAAATTATCCAAGCACAGGCATCCTGCGATAACAACAGAAAACAGATGAGACAGGTCTCTTCCTGCCAGGCACTGGAATTCTTACCTGCACTGTGAAGTTAGGTGTGAGCATGAGCCTTACTGTAGCTCATTCCTTCTTCACATACAGCCATGGGTGATATTTCACAAACTGCAGTTTCCATTGGTTGGGAAACTGAATCGAGTGTACCACCTCGGGCAACCTGCAAAGAACATATATAGTAGGTTAGAAATAAATATTACCACTAAAATTGTTGAGATTTGGGGACTGTTTCTGTTTATGACATAATCCACTTAGCTTTGTACAGAATTTGTTGCCAGACTGAGTGGGTTGGTGCCTGGATCCAAAATCTTCACTTCATGGAATTTGCTTGGTTTTGGGGTGGCAGATAGCACAGAAACTGTTATCTAAAGCTTGTAAGAGGGTGACTGATGTGATGCAATGGCAAAACCTGTGGACATTTCTATTTTTATTTACAATAACTTGGGAGTCAGAAGATATAACTAACGAAATTCAATTCTAGGGAAAAATTTTTTAAAAAGATGCAGTGTGTTTTGGCTGCTTGCTAAAATTGGCAAAGTGTTTCATGAGTGAGATGTGCTCAAAAAACAGTTGGCCAGTTTCAGAAAACATCCTGTCTTTAGTTGTGGGAATCTGGGAGATAGAAAATCTTTTTTAAAAAAGGAAAGATTTATTTATTTATTTTTGAAATACAGAGAAAGAGGAAGAGACAGGAAGAGAAATCTTCCATCTGCTGGTTCACTCCCTCAATGGCCACACTGGCCAGGGCTGGGCTAGGCCAAAACCAGGACCCAGGAACTTCTTCCTTATCTCCCACATTGGTGGCAGGGGCTCACAAGAAGAAGTTTTACCCACTATGTCACAATGCTGGCCCCAAAGAGGATTAAATTAAGGTTTGAGACAATCACCTATTTATTGAACTCTTCTAATTGAGGTACAGCGTCTCAGGATAAAGGTCCAGTGAAGAGCGAAGTACCAGCAAATCTTTTCAATGGAGCGACAGCATTCAGACTTAGAACTGGATTCTATCACAGGCTGAATTGTGTCCCCACTCTCCAAATTGCATGTTAATCTCTCAATCTTCAGTATTTTAGGGAGTGACCTCATTTGGAAATAGAAACATAACTGATCCCATCAGTTCAATTTGTATTAAAGTGAAGTGGGCCCCTAATCCAATATAATGAATGACCTTAGAAACGGGACATTTGATAATAGACACACAGAAGAAACATCATGTGAAGATCAGGCAGAGATCCATGTGATGTAAATCTACAAACTAACAAATGCCAAAAACTGCCAGCAAACTACTAGGACTGAAGAGGGAGGTCCTAACATATACAACCCTCATAGGACCCCATCTTTGCCCTTGGACCTTTGTCCTCCAGAATTGTGATACAGTAAACATCAGCTGTTCAATCCACTCACCTGGTGGTCCTTCGTATGGCAGCCCTACCCAGCCAAGACCATTGAAACCCCATTGATTCAGGGGTCTTCATTCACTTCAAGAGAAAGGCAAACGTGAGGGTGGCAGAGCCCAGGAACAGAGCTATCCCAAGAACTCCATTTCCCAAGGATAGGGGCCATGAATATATGCCCACATAGCTGGCTGCCATCAAACAAATAGTAGACAAAGCTTGGGGAGAGTTGCACCATCCTAAAAGCAAAAACTAGACTTTGTTAGAAAGAGTTTATGACTCTGAGATTTAACATAATCCCCTAGGCTGCTGCATTGCATGGGCAGACAGTGCACTGCTAAAACAACAGTCTCTGTGTCCCTATCACACAGTGCCCCCTATGGACTTCAGGTGTGCCCGTAAAGAATAATGGAAAAAGGAATCATCTCCAGTGTTCCAAGGACAACAATGATCTAAGTCGAAGGGGGCTGATTCCTGAACATGGAGCCAGGCTTGATTTAGGCAAGTCGTCTGCTCTCAAGCAGGGAGCTTCAAGATTTCTGTCCTGGAAGATTTCAAATTTACTGTGGAACAGTATTTTCTTGTTTCCCATGGTTTTTATTTATGCATTGCATTGTGTCCTATAGTTATCTATTATGTTGTACAACAGATGTGTAAAAGTCAGATAATTTGTCTTTTTCATATAAAGGTTTCCAGATCAAGAGAAGCCACAGCTGGCCCTGATGAAGAGACTCCCTGATGCACGTGCTGTCATGGACAGGCTGCTGCATATCACCTGGTGTTCCGGATTGAACTAAGCTCTTTGAGATTTGTATATTGAAACTTTGATCCATAGGAACTCAGAATGTGGCTGTGCTTGGAGACAGGCCTTTAAAGAGGTAATAAAGGTAAAATGAGCTCATACAGGTGGGACTTACTCCAACATGGCCAGTGTCCTTGTAAGAAGGGGAGATGAGGACACAGGCAAGTAGCAAGGGTGGACACGTGAATTCACAGTGAGAAGACAGCCATATGGAAGTCAAGGAGAGAAGCCCAAGGAGAAACCAACACTGTCCACACCTGGATCACAGTTTCCTTTTTTTAAAAAATATTTATTTATTTATTTGAAAATCAGATTTACACAGAGAGAGAAGGAGAGGCAGAGAGAGAGAGAGAGAGAGAGAGGTCTTTCATCCACGGGTTCACTTCCCAGAGGACCGCAATGGCCAGAGCTGTACTGATCTGAAGCCAGGAGCCAGGAGCTTCCTCCAGGTCTCCCACGTGGGTGCAGGAGCCCAAGGACTTGAGCCATCTTCTACTGCTTTCCCAGGCCACAGCAGAGAGCTGGATTGGAAGTGGAACAGCCAGGACTGAAACAGGCGCCCATATGGGATGCTGGCACTGCAGGTAGTGGCTTTACCTGTTACACCACAGCACCGGCCCCTGATCATGAATTTCTAACTTTTAGAACTGTAAAAAAATATTTCTGAAGTTTATGGCACCCCTACCAAACTAACATATGAAAAAATCCCCTTGTGTCCTTTAGTGGTTAGATAGACTCTGGGGATGATTCAGGGAAGAGGGGTTTCTGGACATGATCTGCGCGCAAGAGGGAGTGAAGTAAAAATTTATCATTATAAATTTATTTCTCATGCGTGTTATGTGGTGCCTATAGGGAGACATGGCTCCATCCATTTATCTTCTTCATCCTGTAACTCAGACACCATGAATAGCCCTAATTTGGGGACATATCTTTCTTGTGACACAGAGAAAATAATTACAGAACCATGTAATGACTCTGCATTTTTTGCTGAAATGTCATATGTATCACTTCTAGTTACATTTGATTGGTCACCACAAGTCCTCTGGCCAACCCTGGTATCAATGAGGCAGGGAAGCACACTTATACTACAGTCACATGCCAATGGGTGGGGATATGTAATTCCCCTATGGCAGAACAACATGCACTCAGTACCAAGAAGACAACTCAAGAACATTGTTTAATAGCAAATATTTTAAAAATTATTTATTTTTATTTATTTGAGAGAGAATCTTCCATCCACTGGTTCACTCCCCAAATGCCCAAAGCTGCCAAGGCTAAGCCAAGCTAAAACCAGGAACCTATAATTCAATCCAGATCTTGCATATGTGAGAGGAACTTAACACTTGAACCATCACCTACTGTGTCCCAGAGTGCATGTTACAAGGAGCTAGAATCAGAAGCTGTGCTCTGACTTAAACCGGGACACTCCAACATGGGATATGGGTATCCCAAGCAGCATTGTATCCTCTTTGAAATCATGTGACTTAAGTGTGAATGAATGGTAAGTGTGTAACATTCAAGAAGAAATCTTTAACAAACGTTGCATGGTTCACCTTTTTTTTCTTTCTCCCTACTAGGGAGACATTTGGGGCATGTTCTGTCTTCTTGTATCCCTGTATCCTTGGACTAGTCATGATAGATAGGTAGTGTGACAAAGAAATTAGGGGTTGGTGCCGTGGCATAGTGGATAAAGCCACCACCTGCAATGCTGGCATCCCATATGGGCTCCGGTTCATGCCCCTGCTGTTTCACTTTCAATTCAGCTCCCTGCTGGTGGGCTAGGAAAAGCAGTGGCAGATGGCCCAAGTTTTTAAAACAAAACACCTCCCCCACCAAAAAAAAATAATCTCTGTTTTCTTACATCATGGAGATTTTAAAGTTCTGGTGACCACAGCATAGCATAACTCATTCATTGTGATGGAGATGCTAAGAATGGTCTGAAAAGCACTCACTGCCTTTAAAAAGGACCTCACTGTTTTATGCGCAGTAAGTGCTTAGCATCACATGCCAACTGCCTCTCTCACATTCTTTCCATTGCTGTAGCTGATGCTATTGTAATAATTACTTCTTTCTTTCTGTAGAGAATGCGGAGAGGGTTGTTTACCTATTATGCCTCTCAGGAGGAATTGCCCCCTGTATGGCCATGGCTGTGGCTGCAATGCAGTGTAATATTTCTGAAGTGGGAATCCTTCTGGAAATTCCCTCTGTAATGAAGAAGTTTCTGTGTGTCTTGGTTTGTAACACAATAAAGTCAGGGTCTATTGCTGGCCAGCTTTTACGCAGTGGTTACAGGGAGGACAAAGTCACTGCACAGTGGGCACAGGAGAAGGAAGAGCATTAGAGTTGTTCAGTCCTTAGTCTGACCTTAGTCACATTTATAGTAGCCAAAGATATTCATTTATCAGACATTTGTGAACTACGGACTGAGCACTAAATTTGTCATGCTGTTAATGACATTTTATTGAAAAACACCCATATCTCCTTATTTACATAGTGTCCGTGGCTCCTTTCATCAGCAAAGAAAAGAGTTTAGTTGTTGTGCAGAAACTAGACCTAAACTACTTATTATCTAGCCATTTTCAGAAAAAGTTTGCTGATGCCTAACATACGTTACCTAATCCTTTAAAAATTAATATTTTTACAACTATGTATAACTTTATACATACATAAACACCATAAATGTAAAATTACAGATTCATAAATGCAATTGTTGTGCGTTGTGGTGCATAATCAGAAGACTGGTGAGCATTGCTACATGTAATCATGAGTCTCATAAAGCTTTTGATCAAACCAAGGCTTCAACAGATTAGCAGAACTGTGCTAGTGTCCATGTGAATGCTTGTTAGTTATGAAGCAGGAGAGAAAGTTGAGCCTGGTGTGTGGGTGTGACAGTTACAGTTCAGACCCAGATAACTATGCAGGTATAACTGAGGAAGGGAAGCAGCAATTGGAATGAACACTGAG